GGGGGGGGGGTGGGGGGGTACTGATAAAGAGAGAACACAATGTCTGAGGCAGTATGTAATGGCAGAGTGCTGATGCTTTCACAAAGTATGTTGTGCAAAGAGCTCCTTTGCTCCTATCAACGCAGGTACTGGCACATTTGCAGTGCTTTCATAAATGGAGACTAAGCTGAATTTGATGGTTGTGTGATTACAGCAGTTGAATCTTCAAAGGAAGCAGTTAGGAGCAGTTAAACCCTAAGATTTATAGTCAAAATTGTTAGTAAGGTAAAGGTTGAAGTTTTTGGGACCCAAGTTCTTGTCTAACTGTAAAGAGCTATCCCAGCCAAGAAATAGGATCTCCTGTATACAGCAAAATACCACCAAAAAGGCACAAAAGCCTCTGGCAAATGGGTTTTATCCAGCACCTCCCATCATCCCCATGAAGAAAATGCTTGATGTCTTGGTTGATGAGCAAAATAGAGTATCTGCAGTAACATGTTACTCATGAGTGAGCTTTTAGATGAATTTATTGCATAGCAAGTGCAAATACCCATTAAAGTTAATAAATCAGTGTTGATAATTTTTGCAGTTAGCAAACACACAGAAAGGGAAAATTTCAGACCATGTCTGCTTCATATCGAGATGGAAGACACCTGAGATTTTCATTTTCCCCTCCATCTGAATGTCTTCACCTTGCTTTTTTGGCATTTGAAAACAGCTGCTATTATGCTGAATTCTCGAAGAAACTATTCTCAGCAAACCAGAACTCCCCTTGAAATCCACCTCCTCAATGACCAGTCTGGATTTCCTGCTGCTTCATCAGTGTCCTGGTGACAAATACATGGGTTTGTACCTTCTTAGTCCCACTGAAAGTCATGGGAGAGAAGTCAAACAGACACAATTTGTTCCTCAGTAGGTTAGCTCGATGCCCATTTTACATCCTGCAGGAAAGGACCTTCAGATCGATCCCACAACTGTTCCACTCAGTCTGGAGACGTCTTCTCTTTTACTCACATTTTGCTCCCTGTTTGGGCAACGGAATGCTAAGGGTTATCATCTGGTGGTCAACATACAATGCCTTGTTTTCCTGAATCCACTGGTCCTGCCCAACCTTTTAAAAATCTATCCCTGGCAGGCAATGGAAGAGTGTGAAGTAAACTGCAGATTGTGTATCCAGCCATTCTACCATCCTGTTTAGATGGACAATTTCTATCAGTGTGACAGCTGCATCAAACCTTATTTCTAAGAAGTGCCATGTAAAATCACAAAGATTAAACCTGTGGATATATGTGTTCCCAAAAAGCCAGTTCAGCGTCAGGTCAAGGTTAATTACTTCTTTAAACAGTGCATTGCTGCAGGTGTGCAAAGGAAAGCATCTTGCACATGGGCCCTGGGGGAAGGCATGTTCCACCACATGAACACCACTAGTTCTCATTTCTGTGGCCTGCACCAGGTACACTAAGAAGCAGCTGAGCACAGAAAAGTTGAGAAGGGAAAATGTAAGAGACTGTAATTACAGGGGAGATGCTCAAAGCTATAAAAAGCTAAACACTTAGGTCCACCTACTGACTTGTGAAGTTTATCCCAGGGCAATAACACAAGAAAAGGTAGTGGTGCTGAACAGCCTCACACTTGGACTGAAGCCTATTTAAATTGATAAATGTCAATAAATATAGCAATCTGGAAATAGGAAAATAACACATTTTACAAAGTAAATGTTGATTGCATCGAAGTATTCATATGACAGACAGAACTCTGGATACTGCATGGCCCTGGAAAACACAGGTCCCAACACCTGACTTGTCCATTCCCTCAGACAGAGTTTTGTGCCAGGCCTCTAGCATGCAGGAATATGGACCACTGAGCTACAATCATTTCCCTAAAACTACACTTGAACCGAACTCCCCTTTAACACCTGGTTGTGCAGAAGAGTCCAAAAGGGAAGGCTGCACAGCCAGCCTGAACAAGCCATGAAGCTGGCCCGACTGCAGTCCTTGATAGCCCCAGGAGGGGACAACTGGCAAAGGCCAGGGCATGTGGCAGGGCTGACAATGGAGGTCTCGTTGCCCTGGGGGGCCAAGGCTGCTCTGAGTAGCCCCTACCCAGCAAACCTCAGGCTCTGCTGAGGTATGTCAGTGTCCTCAACTGCATCCAGAAAAGGCCACCCAAGGCCAGACCAGAAACACCCCCCCGGGAGCACTGCTTTGCTCACCACTGGCTCTCATCCACACCAGCCTGCAGCCCTGTGACACCCCAAACATGAAACAGTGGGAAAGGCCGGTCTCAGCAGGCATCCCCCGAGCAGGATCTTTTGTGAAGAGGGCCCCAACAGAGCAAGGCTCTTATCATGCAAAAACAGAAGCAATTTCAGAGTATTTTTAAATAAGGATCCAGAGCAAACAAAGCACAGGACTCGGTAATAATACAGAACAGACACAATAAAAGGAGCATCTAAGATCAGCTCTGTCATATCAAGCTATACACAAGCTCTAAATCGGGGTGAAGGGTAATTATATGTATACCATGTGAAAGTTCAATTCCTGCTGGGGAGAAGCCAAAAGATCAGCTTTCCACATCCCACGCCAAGGTCTGTGCAGGCACAGATGAGAGCAAGCCGTCCCCCAGTTACACGAGCCAGCCAAACTACTTCAAAAACAAAACTGAATCATTTGCAAGGTTCCAAAATCAAACCCTCGAGACAAGGAAAAGATGTTGTGATTTGCTTTTTGAGACAAACTCCTACCTAGCCTCACCTTGCAAAACCTGGGCTCCATACGCACCCCCCAGCAGCAGTCAGCCCCAGCCAGGGGGGTAGCCTCAGGGGAGGGGGTGGCCACAGCCACATCAGCCACATCTGCCACCCCTGCAGGGAAAAGGTGAGAGATGCTCCAGAAAGGGGAGCTTCACAACAGCATGCAAGTTGCTCAATTTTAAACATCTAGTTAATAAAGAAAAAATCTCACCCTTCTGTCTTTAAAAGGGGCTGTGCCATGTACAGACTGTTGCAGCACACCACAGAAAGAATGTTTGAGGAGCACACAAAGGATGACGCAGAAAAGCACTTTTCAATTCAGCCTCGAAGGGTCTGCTTTCTAACTCCTTCATTTTTAAGAGTGGGAAATGCGGGATTGCTCCTTTTTCCCTCCTTCACAGGGTGAAAAGGGGAGAGTAAGGGAACAGGTTTTCCTGTGTTTGATGGACGAGTTTCCAGGAGGATTTTTTGCGTGTCTGGTTTCTACCACTTGCATGAAATAATTGACAGTAACCTCATCTTTTAAGTTCACCCCTTTGGAGAAAGATTTACAGAACGTAACGCCACTCTTCTTTCAAGGAAACTTCTTCCATAGCAGATGGGAGAGCAAGGAAGGAAGGGAGGAGAGCGCAGCCCATCTCTGCAAACGAAGTACACGAAGACAAGAGGACAAAAAACAAACTACGTGCGCCACGAAGAGCTGTCCGGCCCGGTGCTGTGACAAGAAGTCACACCTGGGGCACAGATGTGCTGCTCAGACCCCAACCGGCCCCAGGCCCGAGGGGGGGCCCCGGGGGACGACAGGAGGTGGGCCATCCGGGCTCCGGCACGGACGGGACAGGGGGGCAGAGGGCACGGCGGCGCCGACCCGCTG